GACCTACTTACTCTACGCAGGGTTTGGTAAAGTCTTCTCGGTTGGCTGGCAAGTTAGACATCTTAGTTTAAGCGGTTCCTATTTACCAAAGGCCACTGTTGCCAAGCCCTCTATCATATATTATGTTGTCCCTTAATCGGATTGTAGACATTTGTAGGAGAAGTAGGGATGATCACAAAAGTAGATATTCTATTCTACTACCACCACAAAGCAACAAAAAATATTGAATAATAGCGTAGGCCAGCGGCTTCGCCCGCGTTCTCGTGTCATAAAAAAGTACCCGATGTCACATTCCAGACCACAGTCTACCCCTGTTCCAAGATTTCATTCCGATCCTTTTACCCGATTTGACGTGAAGGACTTGGCATTCATAATATTAGTAGGACTATAGATCAATGAAAATCAAAATTCAAGGACTCATTCATTCATTCTCTCAATCTAACAAGGCAGAAACAACATTTACCAGCAAAAGGTTAAATAAGTAACAACATTACTTCAAGTATCTACTCTCAAAATAAAAGGATTTGAAGGAAAATGTACTTTAAGTAGTACCAATTTAATGACCCAAATCGCTTGGACCCTTTTCCCTTAGTTTACTTTGAAACACACGTAAATATAAGCGACACACTTACCGTAAAGGTTCTGCACATTTCTAGGTCACTGAAACTTAGGTAAGATGAAAATATTACGATGTTTTTCTTTTAAAGTTTTTTTAAAGGCTTTCCCTGTTTTAATACTAGGAATTTCTTTTACCTTTCTCGTTTTTACAAAACGTAAGAAGAACATAAATTAAAAAGTCACTTATTGCTCTAAATATATGTAGGTGAATACCTACAGTATACACTTACCGGCAAAGAGAAACAGCTCCTAGACATATGACATTTCCACGCGCGCCTCAAAGAGCCATCAGATCATCACGGATGGGGCCCAATAGGGCTGATGCTGATACGGAGCCGCGGAGGACTTAACGGGTTGCCAGGGCTCCGGCTCGAAGGGCAGAAGTACGAACGGGGCGGTTTTTAGTCAATAAGAGTCCAACACTCCCTCCCGCCTCACCCAGGCCGGAAAATTCATTCGATGATTTTCCCCCTTAAAAAAAAAGTAAATGCATTTAAACGCAATTTTTTTGGAATAGTAGTCAAACGAGCAGACGGATCACCTGATGGTAAGCGATCAGCGCCGCCCATGGACACCCGCAACACCAGAGGAGTCACAGGTACGTTGCTGTCCTTTTAAAAAGGAGTACGCTTTTTTCTTGAAGGTTTAATAGTCATATCGGTTCGGAAATACCGCCGACGACAGATCATCATCATCAGTTTTGCTGTGCGAGGCAGAAAGCTACGTGAGAAGCGAACAGTTGTGGCCTGCCAACCATCAACCAATTAGGACTGTCACTATCATTCGACAAATAATGTAAGCGCCATACATTGTTACTTCTATTGCTATAACCGATATCGAAGAAACATTCACACATCATACAGACATTCAATCAAACAAGATCATGACACAAATAAATTACGAGACAAACGTTACATTTATAACCGACCAGCATTAGTAACACAATATTCTATCGTCAATTTTCCATCATATATCAATAATCATCTTTCTACCCACCATATGAACATTTTCTTCTAACATCCTAGTAAGCTTTCTATACTTCAGTTGCTCCTCGGCTGTCGACGAGAGAGGACGTCTCTGTTACAGCGCGATCACCTTACGTACCGACGAAGTTTAGTTGCCATTATGGTTTCGAAATAGTTATATGGTGTTAGTGTTTCGTTTGTGTAATGTGATTTATTTTTGGATTTTATACAGTGCAATCAATGCCTGGTAAGGATTGTTTTATTATATTTTTATTGTTAGCTAGTGTAGTGAATTCTTTCAAAAATGAATTCAACCACTAAATAAAATGATTTCTTACGTCATTTCTACGGCACTTGTACATTATTTCATTGGCCGAGTGGTCGCAAGTGCGACTGCCGGGCAAAGGGTTGGATTCCCGGGTCGGGCAAAGTAATACAGGGTTTTTCAAAAAAAATCTCAGTAGTATAGCACGTAGTCTGGAATTGATCCCGGTGTATGGCAATTGGCTTTACATGGGACTCATAACCCCCTTTACATGGGACTCATAACATAAATAGTGAAAAGTGGGTGTTACATTGTACAGTGGCATAATGTACACCTCTGCCTACCCCTTCGGGGTAAAAAGGCGTGATGTTATGTTATGTTATATTGTACATTATTTCACTCATAAGTCGTCATTGTTTTTCTAACGTGGTAAAGCTAATCTATTTATACAGAAACACCAAATCCAAGATTTCGTGAACAACACAGCATTAAGCTATCGTTATGTGTTATCAAAGATAAACAACTCCGTTGTAATATGGCGATACTTGAAATTATTAGTTTACTTTTCTAAAAGCCTATAAATCTACGGTACACAAAAGTATTGGTTGTAAATTAATAAAATACTATTACATACACACATATCATTAGCCTGTGGCCCATAGGGGTAGGCAGCGACAATAGAATACCAAATGATGGGATTCTGGCGTACCTCTTTCGCTTCATCTACGTTCATCAATCTCTTCATACATGCTCGTCAATTATGGATATTGATAAAACAGTTAAAATAATAATAAAATGTATCATATATCAAATGTCCGAATTAGAGAAGGTTCATAATAATTTGACTGCCTCATTGACTGTGTGGTCACAAGTGCGACTGCCGGGCAAGGGGTCTCGGGTTCGACTCCCGGGTCAGGCAAAGTATCACTGGGTTTGTAAAAAAACCTCAGAAGCACGGAGTCTGGAAATGTGCTCGGTATATGGCAATAGGCTCACCTCCTATTACATGGGACTCATACCATAAATAGTGAAAAGTGGATGTTACATTGTAGTGGCATAATGTGCATAATGTGCACAATGTGTAGGCAGAGGTGCACCTCTGCCTACACCGTCGGGGATAAAAGGCGTGATGTTATGTTATGTCATAATAATTTGATTCCATTGAAAATACTTAAATATATTTCCTATCTTTCAGAGTCAATACTGCTTAGTAAAATACCGCGTAGGTTTAGACTTAGGTCAGTTCATAGGATTGAATGCTAAGTCCGGAAATTGGTAGCAGCAAGCTATCGCTATCTGTATGACCGGTCACTGCATTGGAAACTCGTTAAAAATGTATGATCTGTCCGAACTCTGAACAGATCTGTTGTGCAGCAATCTGATATGTAAAATCAAACAATAAAATCGTTATATTTTGGAATTAAGTTACGATAGTTCAATAAATATACAAAACAATATACAGGGTGGAATTTTGCAATGCCACCTGAAGGGGAAGTTCCTACTCTTAATTTTTGAGATAGAAAATTTTACTCAAAGAAAACATTCCTTTATTTTTGAAAAGAAACAAAACTGCATTCAAACATTTTTAAAATTCGGTTGCCTCACAAGGTTATCGAACCGACTAAAATCTATAAAAATTGCGCGCTGTACTTTTAATGCATCGATCGTTCATTATTTTCCTTTCATTTAATTTATGAAGTTCGTTAGAGAGATTTCATCCTTATTGACCCTTACAATCGACGCAATAAATGTACAGGGTGCAATTTTTACAGATTTTAATCGGATCGATTACTGTGTGCGGCGAGCGAATTTTAAAATCTTTCAAAGCAGATTTCTTTCTTTTTAAAAATAAAGGAAAGTTTTCTTTGAATAAAATTTTATATCTTAAGTATTAAGAGTACTTCCCCATCAGGTGACATTATAAAATTCCACTTGTATATATATAGAATAATACAACGATTTATTTTAAGAGAATTAATTGGCAAGAAGTTAATAAAAGATTAATGAAATTTTACAAAATCCGTTTTGCAGTTTTTGTCCGATTCAAGAATCAAATACAAGATATTCAAAAATTCACAGTCAAGTTGTGTACATTAATCCAACATAGACATTAGTGTAAAAATTAAAACCTTAATAAAATGAAAACATCTGTAAATTCATTAAAGTTATAATAATATTTATGTACAAACAAAACAGTTCTAATATCTATAACTAATACACATTAATAACTCAGGTCAGCTAGCTGACCCGGCAAACGATGTTTTGCCATACAAATAAATTTGTCTAAAAATAAAAAAAAAATTGGGTTGGACTACATTTGGGGGATGAAAAATAGATGTTGGCCGATTCTCATAGATACCGGATAAGCACAAAAAATTTCATCAAAATCGGTCAAGCCGTTTCGGTGGAGTATGGCAACGAAAACTGTGACACGAGAATTATATATATTAGATTAATAGTTGTTGCAATTTATTCACGAGTCTAATCAACGGTTGAACGTAAACACTGATGAGTTATTAATGTGTATTAGTTATACATATATTTTTATCATAGATGGCTTCCTCCTCTTTTATAATAGAGTCGACATTGTTCCTACTTACTATAACGAGTATAACACTTCTTAGTATCTTAATATATCTTAACTTAATACAACTATGTATAACATTAAAGCTCTATAGAGAATAAGCAACTCCTCGTTGGTCGAGTGGTCGCAGTTGCGTCTGCCGGGCAAAGGGTCTCGGGTTTGATTAATAGGTCGGGCAAAGTATTACTGGTTTTTTTAAGAAAACTCAGTAATAGCACGGAGTCTGGAATTGTGTCCGGTATATGGCAATAGGTTCACCCCTTATTACATGGGACTCATAACTTAAAGTGAAAAGTGGGTGTTACTTTGTACAATGGCATTAAGTGCCGTAATGTCCACCTCTATTTACCCTATAAGCAGTGAGTATAACACATTTAAATATCATTCACAGCTGAATTGATGAGAAAAATTGTTTCATAAACGTTTTGAGAGTAAGAATTAATTCGCTTGCCATCTTTGTCAACTAGATTGCGATTCGCGTCGTAAAATCGCACACTAATCGCAAACGACATTGGACGGTACGATAAAGTAAAGTCGTAGTTAATCACCACTGTCTGATCCACAGTACCGTTTGGATGTGTATCAATGTAATTCCTTATAATGAACTCCAAACTTTCCCACGGCCCACCTTGTTTCAGCCCAACCCATACCGGGATGACGTTGTGAGGTTCCTCAGTACCACCCAAAGCTCGTGGAACAATATAACCTTGATCATCTAACCCTGCTCGAGGATTCTGATTCCTGTAGTTGACGACAGTATAATCCGTAGGCGATAATGATGATTTTGCTTTGGGACGTGTGTAAGTACTATACCTCGCCCTAACGACCATTGGCAAAATGATCTGAGGTTGATCGAATGCAGTGGGAACGATCCGAACAGTGTACTGTAGTATCGGCTCTTCGCGTTGCTGCTGTTGCAATGTTTCTGTAGTGAACATAGCTTCCAGCTTCCTAGCCATTTCTTCAACAACATTATGACCACTGAAAATTGATTCCATTTTGAGAATATCATTATCGTTTACATCGATGAAATTACTGTCACCTGGCCTTCTATACTCCGCTTGTACCAATCGCCCACTTTCGTCGAATTGCTGCTTGGATTTTTTAGCGTACTGATGGAAACTTCTAACAATCTTCGTCCCGTCTGGTGAGGGATAACATTTAACCCACTTTTTCCTGGTATCATAGCATCTGTATTTGTTTGTTGACCAAATACCACATCGCGTCGCGCATCGTGTACCGTCGTCAGTAGGATTGTCGGATACATATACTAGTTTAGATGCGTCACAATTTTCTTTCGATTTAGGATAAATGTCACATTGTCCATTGTACGGGCACCCATCTAAACAATGATAGTATTCGTATTTGGTTGAAGCGGGAACTTTCCTCGTCACATTTCGCGGTATATCCTTAATGCACTTCCGCCAATGGTTTTCTGTGACACACCACGTGTATCGGTATCCGAAATTGTCGCAATCACTTATACATAATTTCGTTTGACCGAGGAAGTACTTCGTGTAATGTCGTACCAAGAAGTTGTCAGTTGGACTGCAATCGCGGCCGTCATCCTTCTTCTTGGTTCCCAACCGGCACGTATTCTTCCCTGTCCCGTAACAAGTGCCCATGCACGATTCTCTGACGCCATTCTTGTTCAGAGCAGACGCCGCAAACAATCCGACAGAATATTTGTCTGGATCATAATCATAACCATTCGACGATTGTAACAGTATAAGAAGCCAAGATAAAATAAGATATGTTTTCGTATCCATGCTTAAAACACAGATGGGAACTGGACCACAGCTACCACGATACTGTTTCTTTGATTGTTGGGGTCCGATGATATAAAGCGAATCCAGTAAAAAAAACAAGCGCGTCACACAGATAAGGACTGTACGACAGACGAGTGGCTGGACAAATGGCTGCGTCTCAAAGCGTCGCGTATCTTCTTCTGAAATACTTAAAAATTAACGTTTAATTATTCTACAACCTGTACTGATTTTTTCAGTGAATTATACAGAAAATCCGACAACACAGTTAACAGAGACCGAGCCAATGCTCTTTGGTATATTTAAACTTTTACCTACAATGTCTGTGCAGCATTTATATATAAGCTAAGACCTATACATATATAAGCTCAAAGCTCTTCTGTCAACCCCTCAAGGACAGAAGGGATGATATTAGTGAGGTTTGTTTTATATTTAGTTTGAGGAAAATACTTAATAAAATATTAAATTAGTTGTCGCCTAACGTAATACCGGCCTTTGTCTCGTGATAAGAAATTTCATTGTAAATGAGAGATTAATGTATCTATCATATAGAGGAAACTGAGATATAAATATCTATTTTTAATTAATATAACATTACGATATAATATAACATAACATAACATCACGCCTTTTTATCCCCGAAGGGGTAGGCAGAGGTGCACATTTCGGCACTTAATGCCACTGTACAATGTAACACCCACTTTTCACTATTTATGTTATGAGTCCCATGTAATAGGGGGTGAGCCTATTGCCATATACCGGGCACATTTTTCCAGACTCCGTGCTACTACTGAGATTTTTTAAAACCCAGTAATACTTTGCCCGACCCGGGAATCGAACCCGAGACCCCTTGCCCGGCAGTCGCACTTGCGACCACTCGGCCAATGAGGCAGTCATTCAAATCAAATAAAACATAACATAATTACGCAACAAAAGAACCAAAACAAAATTATAGGTGCAGTCCAAGGACACAAATACAATGTGATGTTTGTATTGTGAATTTGTATAGGTACTTACAGGTGTATTGTACAAATTCAAATACAATGTAATATTTAACTTATTATGTTTTCTGCTTACTCATGTAATAATTTGACCTAGATGATGGTCATTAAAGGTCCAATGATGAAGTATTATGATAGCTAAGGGAACTACTCAATGGTTAAGGGTAGTCACCCGGTATTTGAGCTTGAATAATTAGTATTGATGAAAACTTTGCATCCATGTGGGTTGTGTATAATAAAATATATCAAAGTACTAAACTAAAAATAAGGAAATAACATTAAAATCTGCGTTTAAAAAAACCACTTCAAAAACTAAAGACAATCGAAAAGTAAAAAGGAAAAAAGTAACTGTTATTTATTGGTCATTCATACTTACTTATAGCTTACACACCCACTGATAGGTTAAAAGTCGGTGAATCAAATGCAAAAATTAAGTAAAATATCACAATAAAAAAATCACAGTCAATCATTCTGAAAAGTACAAGACGAAATCCAAATGATGTCAGTTTTATAGATTCCAATTTTGACTTTTTTTTAGCAAAAACGTGACGAGACAATTGCATAAGTATAGTGCGTGTCTACCACCTAATTTGTGGCATGAGACGTAAATTGAAGCCGTCGATTCAAGGTCACCACTTGTCTCTGAGAGACTGGCTGATGACACAGTAACGGGACTCCTTTCAAGTGTGAAGAATAACGTTTTGTTTTTCTTATTTACTTATGTAATACTTCGTAAAATGTAGGCAAAAATACTTTTTTACTACTTTTGAGGTTTAAAGTAAGTATAATCGTTTGGACATTACTTTCCTTCTTTCTTTAAATTGCCAAGTTGTTTGGAAGATTCTATTAGACAAAGTATAAAATGTAAGATTATAGTAGGTAGGTAAGGTATAAAATGTGAGAATTAAACATAACAAATTATAATTTACAAAAGTTAATTTACGGTTTTGTACAGCTACTGTATCAATATCTGAATGCCTCGTTGGTCGAGTGGCCGTAACTGCGACTCCCGGGCAAGTGGTCTCGGGTTCTATTCCCGGGTCAGGAAAAGTATGACTGGGTTTCAATAAAATTCTCAGTAGCAGCACGGAGTCTGGAAATGAGCCCGGTATATGGCAATAGGCTCACCCCGTATTACATGGGACTCATAACCTACATAGTGAAAAGTGGTTGTTGCATTGTACAGTGTGATTAAGCGCCGTAATGTGCACCTCTGCCTACCCCTTCACCCCTTCAAATGTTTGATGATACGTGTATCAATATTAATTTTCTTTACAATATACTAAATAGTTATTTAGTTAGCACAGTTATGCAGACTTTACTTATCGTGGAATCAGAGCGTATAAGAAAGAGTCATAATTTATGTCCAGAATCAACCATAAAAGTGAACACTTCTAACAAGACAATGAACAAAACAATATTACACAGACTACGAAAAAATCTCATAATCCAGTACAAATTGAAAAAAGGGAAACGTTGCCAATTAAGTTTTCAAAGAAATGAAATGGAAAAGTCAAGTAAAGTCGGCGTGCACAGCTAGTTAAGGCCGTTAAGCCAATAAGAAAGCCATTTCCCAATGTCGAGACGTCTGGAGCAATGCATTGGAAATCTTTGATTAACTATCTTTACATCTGCCTTCTGTAACCTCTGGTTAGTTTGACCTTGAACTTTGTTTGTAGGATAGTAAGGTTGCTTTCATAGTTTAACATAACATAAATAAAACGCTGTTTATTCGGTAAAAGGTTAGAAGGAGCACACATTTATTCTAAAGGCCTCTTTTTGTCAGTTGTCTGGTCCTATCATAAGCGAAACACATTTGAGATGAAACCAAGAAGACCAATAAAATAATATTATAATAAACTAGCGGACCCGACAGACGTTGCATGTATAATATAATAATAGGTATAGATAAATAACCTTGATACCACTAGGTGCCACTCAAACGCATACAGAAAAATTCATTTAAATCGATCAAGCCGTTTAGGAGAAGTTCAATGACATACACACGTACAGCAGAATAATATATATAAAGAAAATATCGTGAGACATAGTAAATTAACTATAAATCGCGGGATGCTCACGCGAAAATACTGAGAAAAGCTCGACTAGTTTCGAGCCACAGAGGGGCTCTTCCTCATGAGCAGCCCACTCAGTAGGCTGTGCTAGCCGCGACCGCGCACGCTGCTCATAGTAAAATAGATCTAGGAGATGAAACCGAGACGTTTTCCTGCTCAATAATCGCGAGCTTAGAGACGAATTTAATAATATTCGATTATCTCGACATTTCATTGAAATACAGGTAAATGATATCGTCACGTTTTTTGTTTCTTTAAAGGTTAAATATGAACGAATCATCTCAATTTCTATGAATGATCGTCAAAATCTTCGTATTTCGTACATATTTCGGTGTCAAATCGCTAATTGAATGATTTTGTAACGCACGTTAAATGGCTGGACTAGCCTTGTGTTTTGTAAAAGATATACATACTATTGAAAAAAATCTTTTATAAAAACGTTTGAAAAAAACCGACTCCAAACCCTTCTTTTTTGAAGTAGGTTAAGTAGTATCTATGTACAATAAATGTACAATAACACTTTAACCGATTCGACCGACATATAAAGAAAGAAAGAAAGAAAAATCATTTATGGTGAATAAATGTTTTAAACCAGGCACGACATATTCACGTCTAATTCATCGCGCACAAACGGATGTTTGAGCGCGATACATACATACTGTATGAGGGAGGGATTGTCACACTCTTACTGACTAAAAACCACCCCGTTCCTTCTCCTGTACTTCGAGCCGGAGCCCCGGTAACACGTTAGGTTCTCCGCGACTCCGAATCGGCATCAGCCCTATTGGGCCCCATCCGTGGTGGTCTGATGGCTGTACATACTGTATAAATCTCAATTAAACTAAGAACCTCATTTTTTCCTTTTGTACTAAGTTGGTTAAGAATACCACCACTATGTCCATAATAATAGGTACCCAACTGACTATAATCCTATTCAAAAACTTTATCAATAGAGTGAAATTCAAGCTTAATACTTCAACATAGTTTGGCGATGAAGGAATTTGAACACAAATCCTCAATTCGAAGGAGAATCTTGAGTGGTTTGTGGGAATATCGATTGAAGAGTACATTTGGAGGGAAGTTATTTATTATTCATCTGAATGGTTATTGTATTGTATTGTGAGTATTAACTCCTATTAATAGTTTTTTTGGACTACGAAAAGCTGGAAGATCTAGTTCAGTGGCACAGTATCGGAGAGATCTTTGTCTAGCAGTAGACGGATACAGACTGATGATGATAATTCTTATTGATGATCACGTTAGCTGCTACTTCGGTCACTGGTGATCAGGGTACTTATGTGGAGGATTTGCCTTCAACAGTTTTCTGTCGGCATTATCAATATGGAGTTTAATTATTTTGTTAATATGGAGATATAAGTGTAGGAGAGCCATGCTTCGGCACGAATGGGCCGGCTCGATCGGAGTGATACCACGGCCTCACAGAAAACTGACGTGAAACAACGCTTGCGTTGTGTTTCGTCGTGTGAGTGAGGTTACTGGAAATCCAAATACAATGCCATATATGGCAATAGGCTCACCCCTTATTACATGGGACTCATAACATAAATAGTGGAAAGTGGGTGTTACATTTATCAGTGGCATTAAGTGCCGTAATTTGCACCTCTGCCTATCTGGGGATAAAAGGCATAACGTTATTCAAATTCAAATTATTCAAATTATTTATTTGCACAAATATGGGTACATCATGTTGTTCATAGTTTATACAGTCATATAATAATATAGATCGCCATATTCCGGCTTTCGCCATGCAAAGTTAAGTGACAACAATTTAAGTCAAGATAAAAAAGATTAATTTTAAGGTCAAAAATAGTGGGTTTACGTCATAAGGAATAATTATTATTATTAAGTCAGAAAATAGCATATAGGTAAATTAAAGTTTTAAATCTTTGTCGATAAAAATTCTAAT